GGGCAGCGGCCAGTGCTCGTGGGCGGCGGGGCGCGCGCTGCGCTCTCTTGGCGGCCCGACGCCCCCGCTCCCGGCACCGGGCCACCGGCGCCCGGGCAGAAGTGGAAGGGGAGGGGGAGGACGGGCGGGTTGGGGACAGAGCAGCCGCTGAGCAGTCCGCGCGTGTGACATTTCTAATAAGCTCCCCCCGTTTACAGTCTTGCTCGTTGCGGTGAGCGAAGTGGCGGGCAGGAGCGGGGACTGCATACCGGCTGGTCTGTCACCGAGGGCCCCCACAGGGAGGAGACTCGGCGTGTGACCGCCTTACCCAAGGGAAAAGGCCACTCCCTGAGAGGTTTTGCTTCTGCTTTCTCTAATTCCAAACCCAGTGTGCCCACCATGTGCTGAGTCAGACCTCTCACAAAAAAGAAGCAGCCCTTGGGACGTTGGATAGAATAAAGGAAAAGAATGTGGGCAGGTAACTCTATTTAGGAGCCGGGGGATTGAGGCAATTTTTGGATCCCCTTTGGATTTCAGGGGTTTGTTTGTTTGAATAAAAGTAGTTAAGTCTATAGTCAGGGCACATCCTGGGATTTGGGGACCCTGAGTCTGGTCTGAGGATTGTCAGTGATTATGTTTAGTTCACTTCTTGAGCATAAGGAGCCTTTATTATACGTTAGGAATGTGCCTAAGCGCTTGGCCTGCACCTTCTCATTCACTCAGAACAACCCAATGAAGGAGGAGCCATTTTGCAGATAAGAATAAAGAGGCTCATATAAATGAAATAACTTGCCCAAGGTCGCAGTAAAGTTAAATATAAATCGTTCTGTCCTTACAACTTAACGACAACCTTAACTAAAGCTGTTTTTGTCCTGGGACTGTCATTGACTAGGTGCCCTGTGCACCAAGGAACTCAAGGGTGGGTTTGGAAGCATTTAACTGTTTTTCCAAATTGTTCTTTTCCCTTTTTGTTATGGTAAGGAGATGCAACCACCAACCACCCTGAACCAGACCAAGCTTCACCACAAGAGCTACCCCAGAACTTTTGCCTTATTTTTAACGCTAAAATCTGTCTAGGAGGAGCCTAGGCCTTATCCCAGTAACCTGCAGTGTATATGGAAGCACATTTTTCAACTGAGCCTGTGCAAGCAAATACCCACCTGTCATTTTTGAATATTCATTCCCCATCCAAAATAAAAGGTCCTTGCTTCTTTCTGGGACATCATGACTTTGGAAATGATTCCTCATGGCCTCCTATTTGCTGCAAATATACTTTACTTTGTGAGACTACTTCTGCTGGTGTAGTCTTATTTAACTTGCCAGGAGGTGAACTCACTTGGTTTAGTAATAGGACCTCTCTCTGCAGGGGTTCAAAACCTGGTCCCACTACTTTCCAGCGGGGTGCCCTTGGGGGAATCACTTCATTTCTCTAAATGTCTCAGTTTTCTCATAGGTTAAAAGAGAGGGGAAGAAAAAGACTTAACGCTGTCCTCTCCCAGGCTTTTGTGAGAATTAAACTGTCTGAGTGTCTCCCATAATTGCTCAATGAATGATAGCTATTTATTTGCAGTCACATGTTACATTATGTGCATTATGCTTTATAGCCTCAAACTAGATTGCTGACTGCACAAATGCAGGAATCATCTTTCACTTTGTTTCAGTTATCTACAGCCTCCAACTGTTCTCAATGAACTCCGGTTTGGTATGCTGACCTTAAAGACACATCACCGTATTCATTTAACACAAATGTCTGCCAATGATAAAGGTCTTAGCCTGTCCCACTTGCTCGCATCATGTTTGCCCCACAGACAGTGCTTGAAGTTTCTCGGAAGGAAATGAAAGTTATCAGGGAGAGAAAGAAAGTAGCCACAATTAGTTGGGCCAACGAAATATTTATGACCCTTGTCAGAGAGTTGGGAGCCGGCCAGATGTGCTGCTGATTTCCAAAGTAGTGAAAGGAAACCTAATTCTGATCTTGAGTTCCTAATTAAAAACAAAATAAAAGTAAAATATAATTACTATATGGTATGGTTGTTTAAAAATTATTCTCCCAAACGGAAAAGAAACTAACCTTATTAAGCATCTGCCCAAAGAACAGGGGTGAGTGGGGGCTTTGTATTCATTGTTATCACATATTGTCTCAAAACCAAGCCTCCCGAGGTTGGCTTTGCTCCTTTACCCCAGGAACAGTACCTCTCGTCTTGGTTTCTTGCTCACTCCCTTTCTATTAGAATAGAGACAGAAGCTCACTTTATGCATGCTATTGCCTCTCCTTCTGGAATGTTCCATCATACCTACTCTCTTTTCAGGCACAAAATCATACTCCTATAGAGTCAACGTGAGTCCCTGATTATCTGGCACCAACCTAGACTCCTTTAGACGTCCATTGTACCTTCTACATAATCCTGCTGTACTTCTCATTACACAAATACCAATAAAAGTCACCTGTCAGTACAAGGACATCACATAAAAGTTCTTACTAACCAGACAGAAAAAGCCATACTGTAACCACGGGCCCATTTAGAGCCACTTCAAACAGACCCCGTCTCTTATCAACAAAGTGATTAACCATTGTCTTTCAGAAAAACTGTGAAGTCATGTAGCCAGAGCATGCATAAAAGAAGAAATCGTGACCTGAAGCGACCTCAAAACCAAAGATTCTCCTTCCTACAGAACCCAAGGACCAGGACACAACCGGAACTTGAAAGTCAGACTCTTATTGGAAGTGAGAGTTCCCTCATTCAGTAAGATCTGGTGTTAAAATTCCTTCCCCACCTTGTAGAAAATGTTTAGAACTCCATCATAAAAGTTTATAACCTCATCATAAAGGGTTTAGAACCCTGTCATAAATGTTTAAAACTTTACCAGAAATGCTTGAAGCTCACCAATCAAAACCTGTCCTGCCAGTGTTTCCATGTGCCAGCCTGTTCTCCCTCACCTCTTAAATTTTGCCCCAAATTGAGAATCGGGGAGACAGATATGAGGGCACATGGCCCCTGCCTCCCTGCAGATCTATCTGGCAGAATTAAGCTGATCTCTCCTCCAAAAGCTGATGCCATAATTAATTTGTTTTTATTTATGCACATTGGGCAAGAGAATCCCAATTTTGTATGGTAACAATAGGAGATATTCAGAATCCTATCTGTTAACATCGTATTGTCTGGGGGCCAACCCCATGGCTTAGTGGTTAAGTGCGGGTGTTCCGATACTGGTGGCCCGGGTTCGGATCCCGGGCGCGCACCGACGCACCGCTTGTCTGGCCATGCTGAGGCCGTGTGCCACATACAGCAACTAGAAGGATGTGCAACTATGACATACAACTATCTACTGGGGCTTTGGGGAGAAAAGCGGGAAAAAAAAAGGAGGAGGATTGGCAATAGTTGTTAGCTCAGGGCCAGTCTTCCTCAGCAAAAGGAGAAGGATTGGCATGGATGTTAGCTCAGGGCTGATCCTCTTCACAAAAAAAAAACAAGAAAACATTGTATTGTCTAAGGATAGAGTGGTAAAAAAATTACATGGGAAGATAACCTCCAAAATTATATGAGATAAATCCCATTTGGTCATAGTGCCTAGTCTTTTTATATATTAATGAATTCAGTTTGCTAATATTTTGTTAAGGATTTTTGCATCTAAGTTCATGAGGGACATTAGTCTGTAGTTTTCTTTTCTTTTGATGTCTTTATCAGGGTAACAGTGGCCTCACAGAGTGAGCTGGGAAATGTTCCTCACTCTATTTGGTGAAAAAGCTTGTATAAGATTGGGGTTAGTTCTTTAAATATTTAATAGAATTAACCAGTGAGCTAAAATTATGTGGGAAAATATAATAGTTTATTTTTAGTAGATAAGCATCTCTCAAAACCCAGAAATCATTTAAATTAAGCATTAAAAAGTTAGAGATAATTCAAAATTATAGTATTTAATATTATGGGAATAAGAAAGAATTTGTGCATATTTGACATTTTGTGTATTTGAGAAAATTTGTACCATTGGCTTAACAGAACAGCCTTCTAATGCCAATTCAAAATGTATATTTGAGTAATTGATTTGAACTGTTGATACCAGCTCAACACAAGGGTGACATAAGGGAAGCCATATTGTAGGAAAGAAACCATATTGTAACTTTGAATGACCTCTGATTAACTAACCCAGCTGGATATGCACCCTCCAGGAGGTATACGTGCTCTGTAGATTTTACGGCCCCTCCCAGTTGCTATAAGTCGATAACTTTGTTCTTTTGAGTTTCTTAAAAATATGATGACCACCATGACTCCCGGGGAAGAGAGTCTATGCTGATAGTCATCATCAATGACAACTGAAAGATCAGAGTATAGGGCGTTGCTCCATTCTCTGATGCATATCCGGTAAAACAAGAGATTATCAGGAACTAAGACCAGATGTCTGCCCCACCTGGAGACCAGCCCCCTATATAACTGGCCTGTAATCTTTGTTCTGTAAGATGGTTCTTTCAGACATTAGTCAGCCATCTTCCCCCTTGCTAGCAAGCTGTAATAAAACTCTTTCTCTCCTACCACCTTGCCTCTCGACTACTGGCATGTCTTGCAGTGGGCAGATGACCCCCCCCGCCTTAGCCGGTAACACTGTGAGTAGAAAGTGAAGTGTATTAAATCTCTGTAGCTTGTTGGAACATTTAAGAGAATGTAAGTTTCACATACAGTATTTATAAAAGTTGATAAATTACTTTGGAAAGCTCAGCTAGGCAGTGAGTTCACTGCTTTACCATGTGGAATAATTGGTGGGGACCTTGTGAAATGCAGATCATGCCTCAGTAGGTCGGGGGGGCCAGTGGGGCTTTTGCATTTCTTCAGCATGCATGATAATCACTGGGGACCTCCTGAAAATGCAGATTTTGCTGCAGCATGTCTTGGGTGGGACTAGAGGTTTTGCATTTCTAACA